AGGACTATTTATCAAAGGGAATTCACAGTAAAGAGGAATATATACGAGTAAAAACACTACTTAGATTACAGGCATATTAGAAATTTTATGTCAGGTCAAATTCATCAGCAGAGAGGCTCAATATTCTAATGGGATAAGTTCAAGAGTAGAGTAAATAAAGAGTAGTTCCTCGCCCTAGCTGGTTTGGCTCAGTGGATAAAGCTCTGGCCTGTGGACTAAAGGGTCCCGGGTTCTATTCTGGTCAAGGGCATGTGCTTAGGTTGCTACCTGGGTTACAGGCTCGATCCCTGGCCCTAGTCAGGATGTGTGTCACTCTCACATTGATATTTTTCTCTTTGTATCTCTCCTCCTTCCTTCCACTCTCTAAAAATCAATGGAAAAATATCCTGGTGTGAGGATTAACAGAAGAAAAGAAAAAGCAGGAAAAAAAGTTTCCCAAGTTATGCCAACTTCAAAGAATTGTCCAGACATTTGTTATATCAAGACAGTTGGTGAAGCTGGCATCTTCTACACAGGAGGCATCGGTAAAAGACTGTTAAAGTAAAGCACATTTCACCAGTGTCCCGAAGAGTTCTGGGATAATGGAGACAAAAATGAGAGAACTGAACAATAATTATATTGGAAGAGTCTTGATCAGATTTCAAAGCTCATGAAATATGCATGTGTATGTGTATGCGTACGTATGGTTACATACGCATATTCCAAATTTTAGGAAAACTTGGAATAAGGCAGGGCAAGTATTTGTCCTCTCTTTTTTCACAGGAAGGCTGAATTTCAAAGAGGGTAAGTCACTTGCCCAAGGAAAGTACAAATTGTGCAGTTCTCAGTCTTGGTAGGAATCAAACTTTTTAAAGGACATTTATTTGTTTTATTCCCCAAATGCAGGCACTTTGGTCCAATGTGATAAGTTTCTGAACAACAGGTAGATCTGGGAGAGGCCTGGACATCACAGATTTACAAAGATTCATGGGGGATGAAAGGCAGTTGGAGGTAACAGGATGGAGCAGAAACAAGGAATTGAGTTCAGCTCACTAATCTTCTCAACATGGCACGTCTTTTCTTCCCTCTGCAGATTAAACCTGCGTCAACTGCACCTTACCTTCTTCAGCTATTACTGTGGTGATGAATAATAGTGTGATTGAGTTCATTTTGTTTGGGTTGACACAGGATGCAGGAAAGCAGAAAGCAATATTTGGGGTCTTCCTGATTCTTTACCTTGCGACACTGATGGGGAACTTTCTCATTGTAGTGACCATTAAAACAAGCAGGACCCTTGACAGTCCCATGTACTTCTTCCTGTTCTATCTGTCCTTTGCTGATGCCTGCCTCTCCACAACCACAGCTCCCAGATTGATTGTGAACGCCCTTTCTCAGAAGAAGACCATCTCCTACAATGAGTGCATGACTCAGGTCTTTGCAGCCCATTTCTTTGGCTGCATGGAGATCTCTGTGCTCCTCCTCATGGCCTTTGATCGCTATGTTGCCATTTGTAAGCCTTTGCAGTACACAACCATCATGAGCCAGCGAGTCTGTGGTGTGCTGGTGATTCTGGCTTGGGTGGGATCTTGTATCCACTCTTCAGCACAGATAGTACTAGCTTTGCACTTGCCTTTCTGTGGCCCCAATGTGATTGACCACTATTTCTGTGACTTGCAGCCCTTGTTGAAACTTGCCTGCATGGACACTTACGTGATAAATTTGCTAGTTGTTTCTAATAGTGGGGCCATTTGCATGGTGAGTTTTATAATCCTGCTTATCTCCTATGGTGTCATCTTGTACTCTCTGAGAAACCACAGTGCAGAAGGAAGGCAAAAAGCCCTTTCCACATGCACCTCCCACTTTATTGTGGTTGTCATATTTTTTGGCCCGTGTATATTCATATACACACGCCCACCGACCACATTTCCAATAGACAAGATGGTGGCTGTGTTTTATACAATTGGGACACCCTTGCTCAACCCTCTGATCTATTCATTGAGGAATGCAGAAGTGAAAAATGCCATGAAAAAATTATGGTGTAGCAAAGGATGACACCAGTTGATAAATGATGTATGGGGATTCTAATGTTTACTGCCTGAACAGCTTACTCTTGTTTCATGGATAGGAAAGGCAAAATATTCTTGTTGGGAAATAAACAATTAAGAAATCTGAGAAAATTGAATTAGAATATGATTACTACTTAAAGCCCATAATTATTTTGAACAATCTATGCTGATCCTTACTTGAATTCTATCAACATCTGTCCATACTCAGTAGGTAATTTGGTTTGGTATACAAATTTTTCTTCAGAAAGAAAAGTACTGACTAATGACATAGTAAGTCTCTGTGTGTATGCACCATTTTTTTTTATAGGTTTCATTCTTGCTCTAATGAATGTCTGGACACTTGCAGAGTCAAGATTTCTGTCTTGACAACCTGAAGATTAGAGGACATGTCTGAGAAAATGCTGCTCTGGGAATCTGTGCCTGAGCCTACTTCCCTGGGGGCATCTACATTGGTGAACCCTCTAACTCCAATGAAAGCTAGAAACATCAGTGAGAACCTAGAATGTCCCTGGAAAATCTCTCAAAATTAATTTTGTGAGTGGTGAGCAAGGGAGGAATGTTATATTTGGATGAGATAGGCAATACCAGCCAGTCAGTTGCTCCTTGGGGTCTTCACACTGCTCTTCACAAAGGAGAGAAAGAGACAGTAAGAGAGTTTGGCAGCAGAAAAAGCGCGGAAGGGAGGACAGAGAGCAATGCATGATGAAGAGAGAGAAAAGAAGAAAGGAAAGTGGAGATTTTGTTCAGATGGGAGAGAAGGAGCTTTATCTTCCTTCCTTCTTGAGCGTCATTTTTTGAGTATGTGAACATTTGAAGGAAAAATGAAATCTCAAGATATTCTTCTATCATTGATTTTCCTGGGCTATTAAGTTTATTTGGGTACCAGGAAAGACAGGAATGAAACTTTTTTCTTCTTCTATCTCAAAACTGAAAAATCAGATTTTTTGGAAGAATCTGGGATCAAAGTCAGGTCTACTATTTCCTGACTCTGGTCTTTTATATAAGAATGTTTTCAAATGTGTATTTTCACCCTAGTCAGTTTGGCTCAGTGGATAGAGCATCAGCCTGCCAACTGAAGGGTCCCGGGTTCAATACTGGTCAAGAGCACATACCCAGGTTGCAGGCTCAATCCTAGTAGGGGGTGTGCAGGAGGCAGCTGATCAATGATTCTCTATCATCAATGATTTTCTCTCATCATTGATGTTTCTATCTCTCTCTCCCTCTTCCTTCCTCTCTGAAATCAATAAATATATATTAAAAAAGATATAAAATTAATTGAAATAAAAATAAAATGTGTGCTTTCATTTTTGAGGAGAACATAATCTATATGTATAATTCACACACCACCACCACCACTATCACCTCCACCTCCAAATCAAGTACTGCCATGCCATTTCAGCACTCAAGTTTATAATTACCATTAAATTGGCACCAGAAAGTATTATTTTTAGTCATATGGGCTAATGAGAAAGGAACACAATGAACTCACAAGTTTGTAAAACATTTCCATCAATTGAGGACATAATGTTAGGTTCACCAAAGTTTCCCAATAGTTCTGGTTTAGACAAGCGGTTGCAGAATAAAAATTTGAGTCCCAGATGGGACATTTGTCAGAGCTCTCAATACCATATTCACAAGTGGCAATTTAATTTCATACTTCGAGTGAACAATTTTCCTAATTTTATGTCTTACAGTTCTGTTTTGAAAACATTTGAATCTGTTTGTATGAATATTATATTTAAGTGCAATTGGTTCTTAAATAACCAAGACATACTCAAAATAAAACTTTAATTTTTATCTCTCATTATTCCTTCAAATTTATTATGGTGTAAGGAAATATTTATCGGTGCCTAAGTGAAAACTCAGAAAGCTTCAGAAATTTTCTTCTCATTATTAGGTAATATAGAGCCCAGATTCCCTTAGATTTTAGATATGGGCTCAATTAGAGGAGGTGGGAGAAGCAGTCAGGGACATTAAGATCTTACTTGACCAGGTATCTTAACAAGTGGCTTACTGTTACTGGGCTGCCTGGCAAATGTTGAAAGCTTTTTATTCCCCTTCCTTTTAGCGACTTTTTGTAGGTCTTTTAATCCTAGTACCATTGACATAGGAGGAAAATGTCTGTTATGATTTCTGTTGACTTCTTGCTTAGTTCTTAGAAAGCCAGTGGTTATCTTCAAAATACTGTACTTGGAATTTCAAGTGGCCATATTGGGCCGGTTCCTAGAAGACCTCCTATGGCTCCTCTATAGCATTCCACAGGGAAAGGATCATGTATCTCTGCCCTAGGAATGCTATTAATGTAGAAACACTGCTGATGTAGGCTGAAATCCACTAGCCACCCTCACCTGAATCCACCTGTAAGTCAGCCAGTCTCTCTTCCTGCCTAGAGTTTCAGTCCCTTGGGCTGAGCAATATGGAGGAACATGCTAGGTTCTCAGAATAGCACTCTGAAATCTCCCTTCATCACACACACACACACACACACACACACACACACACACACACACACACACTTTGGGGTGATTTCCCCTAAGCTATTCTCAAAACCACTCTCCCACTTTACACTCTGACCTGGTTTATATCCTTTGTAGGATACTTATGTTTATCATTTCCTTTGGTTTGGAGAGAGGCACACATGATTTGGACACACTTTGTAACTTCACAGCTATTGTGTTTAGTCAAAATTTTAGCTTTGAGAGCCTGTTATATAAGAAATGTTAATTCATAAATAATTTGTGTTGATGCTGGACTTTAAGATTATTATTATTTAGAAAGGGATTGTATATTCTCATTTGAGAAACATTTGTTTCTACTCATATAAAAGACACATTTCATGGGAGGGTGGGAGTGTGGTGGAGGGGGGTCAATAGGGGGAAAAGGGAGACATCTGTAATATTTTCAGCAATAAAGATAAATAAAAAATAAAAGTTGAAATAAAAAAAAGACACATTGATGAACAAAGGTTTTTTCATTTTAACCTTACCTTGTGAACAGAGAAAACTTCAAAGCCTCCTAGGGAGGACATGACTGTCAGATGATGAAAAGAAGTTAGGAATCTTATATTCTTACTAGGGGCCCAGTGCATGAATTTGTGCACCTTGAAAGGAACTGTGGGCCATGAAGCTGTGGTGGGCACAGGGGTGGGTTTTGGCCCATCCTCTGCGCTCCCAGCCCCCTCTCTGCCCACTGCTGCCACTCCCACATTCTGATGGTGCCAGTCCCACTTGCACCCGCTGATGGCACGGAACGATTGGAGCTGGCGCCAGCAGCGGATGCTAGTGGGACTTGTGCCATCAGTGGGTGCAAGTGGTGACTGCTGCCCTGATTGCCCTCCATGAGCAGGGGGAAGTGGAGGAGCCCTCAGGGGAGATCGTGGCCGGCAGCCGCAGCTTGCACCCGCTGATGGCGCCCAGCTATCAGGACTGGCGCTGGGTGCCAGCAGTGGGTGTGAGAGGTGGCTCCCGCGCTGGCTGTGGGTGTGAGCGGTGGCTCTGGTGATGGCAGTGGGTGTGAGTGGGGCTGGTGCCGGCAACAGGTGTGAGAACTGGGGGAGGGGGAACCATGGCGTGTGGGAGCAAAGAATTTTCAGTAATCACCAGAGGCTCGCCCCAATGACAGCAACTAGTGCCCCACCTTGGTTTGGTGTCCCCCACTCACCTGCTCCACCCTGCCACCCAGGCCAATGC